TGGACATTCCTTCTCTGTGAGGGAAGCCTACGCCTTCAGCCAAACAATACAGGCCCCAGCAGCAAAGACATTTGTAATGAGCCCTGCCAGCATTTCTTGCCTGTGACCCCTTTTCCTAAGCATAGTGCCCTGCAGAGCTGGAATTTCCTTCTCCTCAGCATTATGTGTTTAGTGGAACGATTTGGGGGCCCTGGTTGACAGGTGTGTCCCTAGAGACACTGTTTTCTTTTACTCTGAAGAACGGTGTTTGGATCAATCAAGGCCCTGTCAGATAGCACTGGAAAGCACAAGATCGAACAAGACTCAGTACAACTTGGGGTCTTTGTGACTTTGTACATGAGTGCAGAATGAGGGAGCACTCTTGGGGGAGCAGTGGAAAGAATTTTCCATTCTACCTGCAGTCTTTAGCTAATTTCTCAACATAGTATGCCTTCGATACTATGCCTTTGATCAGCTTTCCATCTTTATAAACTTCACTTTGCTGGGAATAGGACTGGGAATAAGTGTAAACCATCGGCAACAGCGTTTTGAGACCACTCTGTGTCTCTCAACTTCACCTGCTGCTGTGGTTGCTACAGGTCAGATCATCCTGCCCTCCACCCTGAGGACAAGAGCTTTGAACTTCTCAATCCCATTCTGCCTGTTTGCCAGATGACCACTGACAAGTCTGTTTTCTCCCAGTCTCGGTTTGTTCATCAGAAGAATGAAATTATAAGAATTAAGTGGAAAAGTGTAGGCTCAGGCTCTCTCCAAACGTCAAATAGCATTCAGATTGATGGTATTATTTACTTATTTTTAAAAGTATGGGCTGGACCTGGTGAGGGGCACCTGCAATCCCAGCACTCAGTAAGCTGAGGCAGGAGGATCACTATGAGTTTGAGGCCATAGTGGTATGTTGATAGGTTGATGGTGTAGCCCCAAGCCTGGGTTTTGCTTCTTAGCTTTGCCTTTTTTTTTTTTTTTTTTTTTTGGTACTGGGGATCAAACTTGGGTCCTTGTGCTTGCGAGGCAGGCAGCAGCACCACTGAGTAAAAATCTCTGACCCAAGCTTTGCCTTTTTTATGGCTGGAATTTATGAGTTCACTCAGGAGTGATCAAGTTCTGAGAAACCAATTTATGCTAACCACATTTAGAAGGAACTGGCTAGAAAGTAGAATTTATAAATTCACATGTATGAATCAACAGTGGGACCTTTTACAGCAAAGTCCTCTTCTGTTCACTACAGGTTACAAGTTATATGCTCTTCCTCTCTTGCTGTTAAATGACCATTTGCAGTGCAGCTCAGCCTGGTCCAGGTGAGCTCCTGGACCCCTTTGGGCCTTCTGTGCAACTTGCTGCATTGTACTGGCGCAACTGCCCTATGCCTGTCTGAGAGTTCTCCAGGGCAGAAACTGTCTGGGTCACTTCTGAATTCCAAAGGCTTGGCATTCTCTGGGTACAGTAGACTCTCAGTAAGTACTTGTTGATCTAAGCAGAATTAGTAGAACCTCCTCTTTGGAGTGCTCTTCGACACCCATCTGTGATGACAACTTACATTGGTTCTTCTTTTTTCTAGAATTACCACCAAGTCCCCAGGGAAAAGTAGTTCAGTTTGTTTCAGCCAGTGTAGTCTATTTCGGACCCTTTATATGGCCTGTACTTCAGGTATATAGTCTCTGTTTTTGTGTGTGTGTGTGTGTGTGTGTGTGTGTGTGTGTGTGTGTGTGTGTTAGATGGTGTAAGAATTCCTAAAATTGTAACATGTAACTTCCTCATTCTTGAGGTATAAATTAGTATAATAATTCCTACTTGGGGTTTTCGAGGATCAAATGAACACTATCTGCTAGAATGCTTTGTCAACAACAGAGCTTATCAAAGATCTGGTCTGTCATCACTGTCTTCACCATCACCATAGCGCATGGACCCCCTTAGAGGACAAGAACATTTGCAACTCTGAAAGTATTTGAAGATGAGCCTGTGGCATTATCAGATAGCCTCTGTTTTTGCTCCTGTCAGGAGGCTAGCATTTTGGGTTTTTTGACCCTGGCAGGACTTCCCTTCATAATACCTATCGTTCTACTCCCCTTCTGTAAGGACCATGTGTTTTTATTGGTGATTGTTTCAGTTCAGGATCTTGAGAGACCCTGGTAGAAACAAAGATGTCATTATAGGTTCTGGTGGGTATGTGGCACCCCTGAAGGCCATGTACACAGGCACACAAGCCAGGGAACCCATGCGAAGGGTGAGGGGAGAGGAGAGCTGTGAGCCAACACCTTCATTGGATCTAGGGCTTATACAAACAGGTTTCTTGCAAGGAGGGTTAATTAATGGGTTTTAAGCAAACAGGGACAAAGGAAGTCACTTAGTGATGGAGGTGGTCACTGTGGTATATCTGCACAGTTTGTGCAGGGGTTAAGGGTCAGTGGGGCCGGTTAACCAGGCTGTGTAGCTGTCTCCTAGGGAAGTGTTCCCCAGGAGGTGGTTGTATAAGGCAGAGATCTGGATCAGCCCCACAGAGGAACAGAGAGAGGTGGAGAACTGGAAACTGAGGGTGACTGAGTCTTGCTTCCTGGGATAGGAAAGTCCAATCTATATTCAGTATGGATACTGAGACAATATCACATTTTAAGGATTCACCACAGGTGTGATCAAGTAATGTCTGTTTTGATTCTTTTGAGGAAGATACTGTTTTTTTCCCCTAGCATGACTTCCTTTCACAGAACCTAATTGTGTTCCTTCCCTCCTGGAGGACCATTCATATTTCTTGGTGTTATTTTGTAGCAGCAGAAACTATTGATTGTGCAGCTGTGTTACAGGTGTTTTTATGAAAGAGAAGTTGTATGTCTTCTACTGTTAATCACTTCTTGTATCTTTAGTACTGGTAAGCATCAGAAATGTGTCTAGAACTTTCTAAAAAGCTGATACCAGAACCCACTCCAGAGCTTATGAATTAGTCTCTGCTGAGGTTGGGACTGGGTGTAAATGTGTTGTAGCGGTTCTATAGGTTGTTCAGATGTGTAGCCTGTAAACAGTCTGCAGTGTGATGCTTCTCTACCTGCTGTTTTTGTTCTCCAAGGATTGTTGTTTCTAATTAGCATAGTACACCCCTACACCACCCAGGTATGACCTATTCCTTAAAGAGGACAGTACTCTGTTCTTCTTGATCCTTGGGCTGGCTTGGATTCACCCCATAGTCCACACTCTGCCAGTATTTGGCTATTCAAGTAAAGGAGCAGAATCCTGTGAGGGGATATCAGAACATACATATAGTAGAACAAACATTAGAACCCAGAGGAGCCAGAACATAGTCCAATGACAGAGCATATGCTTAGCACTTTGCATGCATGTCCTTGGGTTTAGTGTCCTGCACCAAAAGATAGATTCCCAAACTAGAGCCTTGTGTTTCCTTAAACTTTGATGTGCTCCAGAATTACCAAGAGAGTTGCTGAGGCTATCCCTGAAGATTCTAGTTAAGCTTTGGCTGGCTTCCTTCATTTGTTCTATGGAAAAATAATCCTGTGCTGCCAGGCTGCAGAAAGTCAGTGACATGGCATAGCTGAGCACTTGGTGCAGTCTCTGCCATGTGGTCTCAGGGGGTAAATAATAGTCTTGTCGATGAGAAGGCCACCTTGAGAGCTCCTTCTGAATCAGTGTGATTCTGCCGCTCGCAGAGCTCCTCAGCATTCCTTTCAGTGCAGAAGGACCCAGTGACATGTCCTGTTCCTCAGCCTTGGTGGTGGCAGTAGGTAGATAGTGTGGTGGATCCTCCACCCCTTCTGCTAGTCTCTTGGGCAGGTGGAGAAACAGATGCAAAGTCTTCTCATCCTGAAATAGTGATCTGAGTCATTTCTGCTCTTCTTGTACATGATGCATTCAAATGTCAGGAAGAGGACTGAAGGCAGGATCTGAGTTCTGACTTCTCGGTGATGATGTACTTAGTGGAACCACACCAGTGGCACTTCAGTCAGCTGCCAGAGCAGGATGGGCAGAGGGGATCATAGCAGAATGGCTTCGATGTCCACTGTGGACTAGAAGGAGTGACATTCTGGGATTAAGGTACATGTGGAACAGATAGCCATGAGTCTAGTCCCATCTTGTAAACATGTGCTCTGGGCAAACTGTAGTTTTTTCTTCTGCAAAACAAGAATAATGACAGTGTGTGATTTACTTAATCTTCCAGGGAGGATTAACGGACCATTTGAAAGCAGGGGCAGCTTCCAAACAAGGTCTTCTCAGAAGCCTCTCCCCACTGCTGTCTCCTTCGCCAAGTATTCTGAAATCTATCAGTTACATGCTCTCTCTTCCCTCTTTAAAGCCTTCCTTTCTTGGGGTACTCATCCCTTTCTGCCCGGCATTTATATCCTGAACTCATTACTCTGGGTGAGAAGGAGCTAAAAACACAGGCAGCTCTTGGAGGCTCTTGCCAGATGGATTTAGGCATCATCACCAGCCCTTTGGGAATCTCAGCCTTGCTTAACCTTGGCATCCTGGCCTGCCCGGACACCGTAAGCCTCTCAGAACTCCTCGCATTAGCACCTGTGGTTCTCTACACCTGGGATGTCCCCAGTGAAGGGTCTCCAGATCCCTCAAATCACTGTTAGCATGACCGAAGCATTTTCAAAAGTAAAAGTCCTTTTGAAAATGCAGAGTAACAAATGGGGCAGGCAGCTGCCCACGTTCCTCGTGGATGGATGGTGATTTGAAAGAAAGAGACATCCTTTAATATGCCAGTTTTAACCTAGATGGGGTCCTTGGCTTGGGGTTTGTTCCTTGGCTGCTGGCTGGTTTCCCTCCTGCTTCTTAATGCACACCCTATTGCTTGTTCCTGAAGCTGACCGAAAAGCCCGTAGGAGTAAAGTGATTAGAGGAACTTCAGCTGTTTTGCTCCTTCTGAATGGGCTTCTTTCATCACAAAATGCTATGACAAAGGCCTTTTAAAGCCAAAATATCAGGGGAGACAAGTGCCACAAAAGCTACTTGCTCTTTGGGTGGGACCGTTGCCTCAGAAGGACTCTACTGCAGTCCTGGAGGGACTCACCAGCCTCCTCCTTGCCATCATGGGTCCTGTGGAAAGTGGCTGGCCGGAGCTCCATAGGCGCGGAACAGGGGATGTTGAGATGTGAAATCCAGCAATCATGAACCTTGTCTATTTTTCTGACTTCTGCATCTTCCTTCAGCCAGCTCGCTACCTCTGCCCTTCAGAAGTTTCCAGCTCAAATTAGTATGTACGGCCATTGCTCATTTGTCTCCTATCTTGGATCAGTTTCTGGATGGTGCTGGTTATATTCCAAGGGTGGGGGGTTGTTTTGTTTTTATTTTGGGTACTGGGTATCGAACTTGGGATCTTGTGGTTGCAAGGCAGGTGGCAGAACCACTGAGCTAAATCCCTGGCCCAGGGTGGGGGGATGTTGAACAGCATTGATTGAAGGTTTTGTCTGTCTCAGGTGCTTTGTAGAAATTTTAATCTTGTAAAGTTGGTCCAACTGGCCATAATCAGTATCTGAGAATTTATTTGTATTGCAGAGGTAAAATCATTGGGCAGGATGGTGGGAAGGGGAACTGCTGAACCTTTTTTTAAAATCCCTTGTCAAAGTTTCTCCTAAAGCAGTGGAAGAAGATGACTCTTGGTTT